GCAGATACTTTGTAAACAACTTAATTTTCATTTACTTACAATATATCACTTGTTATAATAAATATCATATCACTTGCTGTAACAATAGATATCCTTTCCCAAATCATGTTTTAAAGACATCCTGTTTCAGTTGTTTAAAATTAAAAATACTTGTGTGCTTGTTCAATTTTTGTTCTTACACATTCAACTTTGTCCTTCATATTTGGCATTTTGATTTATTAGGCAATCTTAGCATTAAAGACTTTTAGCAAAGCAGTACTAGATTTCAAATGCACTGTGCATGGTGTCCATGATGAATTAATTCCACTAGAGCACAGAAGTTATCATTATTTAAATGCTAGTTTCTTTCAAAAGTTTTGCAATTCAGTCAGGTTTTCAAAATCAGAATTTAGCTGACATTTTGAGGTAAATGTATGTGGTCTCTTGTTGCATATGTAGGCTTTCCTCATACTGAACGCTTTCTTGTGTGAATTTACATAGGAATATTTAAGAATATTTAATATTGATAATTTAAAAGTGATTAAGAATTATTTAAGAGTACATGATAACTTTTTGATTTCATGTTTTTCTTTATATGTCATATTCAAAATCTTTTGGATTCAATGTACATATTTGGTTGATAAATTAGACACTGGAAGATACTGGACATGAAATATTCTTTGATGTCACTATAAATAATTTTGTTTAAGAAAACTTCACAGAAATAGTTAAAACTTTTTATATGGACTATTATTTATTCTCAGTTTCTCAGGAAGTCATTTTCTCCATCCATTTGCTTTAATTACATGATAAGATGGCAAAAAAAAAAAGAGAGAGATTTAATACGAAGACACCAAGATTATAAGATGGAGTGTCCACTTATGTGGATGGGGGAGCATGGGGGTGGTAGAGGTTACTTTTCCCTTCTTAACATCCTCGACATATATAGTTTGATCAATCAATGTACCCACATCTATCTGTCTGTCTACACACATACATACACATATATGCACACACATGGGGTAGGGGATGGAAGAGAAGAAGGAAGGGAGAGAGGTCAGAAAGATGAAAGAGAGAGAGAGAGAGAAAGAACCTGAGAGAAAAGAAGTTGAGTAAGCAACAAGGACCAATAGTGTCCCTGGTGGTGGTTAACAGTCAACTATACTGGCCCAGGTCAAGTATCAAACTTTTGAACATTGTAGTGAATATGGAATAGGATATATGCGGGTTTCTGTTATCTCTCTGGCAAATGTCTATCTCAACACATGATACAGTTTTATACCAATGGAACCTATGACTCTAAAAGGAAAAAAATAAAACCAACAATTCTAGCATTCAGTACTACCCTATCATAAAGTAAGGAGGTCTAATTGAGCTATGTCTTTATATCCTGCTATTTGTACAAATAAAGGACTACATCTTGATGCAAAATAAACACAAAAGCACTGTTGTGACTATAACAGGGAGTCATATACTAATTTATATAATAAGTGGTTGTGCACGCTTTATTCAAGATTATGGCTGCAAGAAATGGCATGAATTGCTGGGTGTGTTTAATGCTGGATTATAGCAATTTGAAACATGTCAAACACATGGCTAATGCCTCATGCTTCACTCATTCTTGCGTAAACCTGCATAGCCACCATCCATTATACCCTTGGTAACAACACAATTCTGCAAGTAAATATTGTTACACTAAGTAACCTTTCAATTCAAGTTGTTTAGGAAGAGAAAATGCAATCTTGTGCAGTCAGTTCCAGTGTCAGTTTAATGTTTCAAAAGGGAAGTGGTGTAGAGAATAAGTATCTGTACAGTGACTTGCTTAAAAAAAAGAAGAAGAAGAAAGAAAAAGGAAAGAAAGGAAAACTTAATGCAAGGGAGTAAAGTAGAACTGTATCATTGGAGTGCAAGATCTGAAGAGTTATTTTCTGATGTGGCTGAAAAGTTGTGTATGATGAAAGATTTAAAGGTTTAACTAACAGTTCAGACAAACATTAAGACAGCGACTCCCAATTTCACCTTTTCCTTTAATGATCCGGAATTTATTTTCACTGATTTTTGTAAAATGTTTGTGGTAGGATTGAGAAGAATGAATAATTTAGTTTGATGTGTTTGGGATCACAAGCACATCTACTTGGAAAGAATATGCTGAATTTGTAATTATTTAAAATATACTTTAAAAGGTAAATAGCACCTCACATTGTGCCAGCCATATTTTCTCTAGTAGAAAATAGGTGTGGAGATCTCACTAGAAGAAACTCAGTAAATCCTGGACAGCATCTTCATTATCCTTGAAGATAGATCTCCTTTATAGTGGACATGCTCCAAGCTGTCTTCTTTAGGTGATATGTACATTAGAATCCTCTGATCACACAATTGCCCTTCTTTTCGCCTATTAATGTTGGGTCAGATGCTTTTGTTCTGTAGAGAAAAAAGGCTATCACTGTTACTGTTTTTCTTAAGCGTGATTTTACTACCTTTTAGATGATTGAACCAAAAATGTGAATCAGTTTATACTCCAGGGTTTTATAAAGTCAAAAATTCCACAAGGTATAATAAAATCCTCTGGATAATAGGAATTGGAAGTTATGTGGGTCTTTCCTTATAATTGTAATAAAAATTTAGACCCATGACTCTGCTTGTTGATTATTCTTAATTATTTGATGGCCTTGATTATAATACAATAATATATGCAGAATTCTTTAATTCATCCAATTAGTTCCGACATTAACTACACAAAGGTTAATATTAAATACTGCCATTCGTCTGCTACATTTGAAAATACAGTTTTTTAAAATTTTTGTTCTTTTTGTTGCAGACTCCACCCAGAGATAATAAGTATTTCAAATACATTTGGATGATGAAGTAAAAGTATATACATACACATACACTCAAGATCTATTGTCAAAAGTAAAATTTAAATGCAATATGTAGTAGAAGTTATATCTGTTTCTACAGTTGCAGAGGACCCAAATTATAATTTTCATATAAGTAGTAAAGGCAATCAGACCTTTTCTCTGAATATTTTAAACATTGTGCATGTAAAATTTATGCCTAATTTGAATACTTATTAGCTGCCTAATCTCAGAAAAGAGTATTAGCTTTGTTTTTTTTCCTATAAAATCCATCACTGTGTATCAGTTTTCATTTGTGTGATTTTTCTTTGTTAATGTTCAATAAGGTGTTTAACAAGCCTATTTATTCATAAGCACATTTGGTTTAAAAGTTGTTTACTGTATAGTTATAACAATTGCTTCCTTTTTGATTATGGGGTTTTGTTGTTGTTGCTTTTTTCTTCTTTTTTATCAGAACAGCTTTAAGTTGTATATGTAGTTCTTCTTATACTGACTTGCTTTGCTAGCCCAGCTACTGGTGGTCTTTTAGAAATCAGCAGGTCTTTCTTTTTTAATTGACTTTTTAGAGTCCTAGAAATAATCTAATAATTTAGGCTTTGATGAAAATACCTGTTAAAGCTATTAAATTATAACCATTAATTTTTAATAATTATAATATTAGTATGCAAAAAAACTCTATTGGATATGTATCTGTGTTTGTGTGTGTGTGTGTGTCTATGTGTGTGTGTCCATAATCACATTTTGTAAGAATCTGGGGAAGAGGTTTTCTCTCTGACATGAAAAGACATTAAGCTTTCATTTGCTCTGTAATTAATACATTAAAATTGTTTAATGGACAAAAGTCTTAAAATATGACCAAGTTTAAAATAGTGAAATCTCCTGGTTACAAAAATTTAGATTGAGTGATAAGTTTAACATCCTTCTTTACTTTAGGCTAAGTCCCCTGTCTGTCTAGCATTACTATTAAAGTCACAGTGCACCCAGGTTGTTTCTGAAATCCTGTCCGTAGAAGTAAATCAGAGAAGTACAGCAATTAGGTTATAGGATAGGATTCACATATCTCTGAGAGCCAAAAGTGATCTTTCTAAACCACAGATTCAAGATGTACTGTGAAATTCTGGTTTGTAAGAGCACATTGGTTCTTTATTTACTGCAAGGATTTCCACTGATCTTGGCAGGACATCTCATTGCTATCCTGAAAGTACAGTATATTTATGCAGTGAAAATGATAAAACATTTATTACTGTAGAGAAGGTAATATGCATAATTTATGCTGTTTTTAGCACAATCATTAGTGATATTCTTGATAGATTTTATTTCCAGCTTTCATATCTAATACATGCCTGGAAAATTAATTTTATATATACTTTCATTTATTTGCCTATGTTAAAATTGAGTTTTAAGTCATCTTCAAGTGAACAGTTTGATTGCTGCTCATGCATAAGCTTAATTACTTCCCAGGAAGGACAGTATTAAATGTTTTAAATGTCAGAAAAATAAATGAATATGAGCCGTTTGATTAAAAAAATAGGCAATATCTGACGTGTTTGCAGCAGGAGCTTTTTCTTAAAATGCCTCCAAGGCAAAATTTTATTTAGTCACAAAAAAAGAAACCCATTATACTATTTATCATTGGTTGATACCATATGATTTGTAACACCCTTACAAAATTTTAATTTTGTATGATTAGCTGTGCATCATTAAACAACAGCCTTGCATAAGATGTGCTGTAAAAATCTGACAGAATCAAGATAGTGAATATTTAAAATAAGGCTGTATAGTCATCCATGGTTGTCAAAGGTAGATAATAGGAAACATAGAACAGAGTGTGCAATCGTGCCTTCATTTAAGCTGGTTTTATAGGTAGACTTTAAAATGTGGTCGTTCATAAATGCTATTGACCATGCTCTATGCATGGTATGTTACTTTGGCTGTTAAATGTAACCACACAAAAATTGCTTATAGAAACCATAATTTCAGTGATTAGTATCTGGATGAAAGCTGAATTTGTATTGCTTTTCTTGGTAAATGACTGTTCAAGGCGGGCTTTTTTTTTTTTTTTTCCTTCTAAAGATGCTGTCTCTGTAATTGGCAGAGAGGGACATCTTGATAATGGAAGTGTGAAGGTGTAACGTGTGTTAATTGATACTTCTTAATCACTTTTAGGTATTAAGTCATGATGCAGGAATCTGCGACAGAGACAATAAGCAACAGTTCAATGAATCAAAATGGAATGAGCACTCTGAGCAGCCAATTAGATGCTGGCAGCCGAGATGGAAGATCAAGTGGTGACACCAGCTCAGAAGTAAGCACAGTAGAGCTGCTGCATCTGCAACAACAGCAGGTAAGTTTTGTTTTCTTCAGTGATTCCTTAAAACAAATCAGCCTGTTTGCTTCAATAGGAAAAATGTATTCATAGCCAATTGAGCATGTTGTGTGAAGCTAAAGGATGCTGAGAATTTATTATTCTTTGGAACCTGATTGAAGGATCAGGAAAGGTAGGATTTTCATCTTCGTTACGTCATGCCGGCGCCCGAGTGCCCTTCAGGTGTCAAGCTATTAATTAAGTTCACAGGGTGATTTTCGGGAGGATCTGTAAAGCTTTGTAACAAGTATTTGATAGCTTCTAGTTTACTGTCGAACATTGTGCTGCAGAACGTGATACTTAGTTTTCCACCAGAGGGCCACATTACTTGATACTTGCTTATACAATGAATTTCTTCCAAGTCGAAGCTAAGGTGAAAGGACCACAAGGACTTTTCATAACACAGATGCTTGCCTGTGATGGCTGCAAATATTAGCTGCTAATTAGTTGAAATTTGCTGAGAGATTGTGAACCATCTAAACACCGTGATCGTCTGTGTTGCTTTTCTTGAAAACTCATTCCAAGATGTTTTGAATATACATCTTTTGATCACGTTAAAGAGCATTTTTTGTTTTTTTTTGCTAGTGGCTCATAAAATGCAGTTCTCATTTAAATCTAGAGAAGTCAACAACTGCCCAATAAAGGTACGCTTTTAAGTAGCCCATTATTCTTTTTCTGTGATCGATTTATTTTTCCCAGTTTTGTTTGTCAATGAAATATTCTTTTCAGCCAAAGAATAGCCACTCCATCCTTTGCTGATTCAAGTCTGTGGAAATAGTGACAGAGAACAGAAAGCGTTCAAAGCATATACTTAAATTAGGTCAGAATGAATATACCTGTTTGACAACAAGAGTATATTTGATTTGATTTAAAATAAAGGTTATTTCTTAAAAATTCTGGATTGCATTCAGATCAAATGTTTAAAAAAATCATTAAAATGAAAATATAATGATTCTTATTGAAAAATATTTCAAATTAAATGATATATCATTCACAGTTTTCAGTTAATATATGATGAGACAGAATGCATCTTGAAAGTTAAAGCACATGCCCACACGACAGTAAAATTTAATAGAATCGTTATTTTAAATAACAGCAGTATTTAGAAAGTTATCTTAGAGTATATGTACTGGATAATGTCTTAACCTTTAGGCATTGTTTTCAAGAACAATCTTTTAAAAGAGCTAGGCATAACACTTTGAATAGGTTCCGTATTATTTTGAAATTATGTCTCTTTTCACAGACAGTAATCATTAGGAAGATAATTTTTATTTTGTTTAACCATCATAAGAATTAAATGTTTGCCAAAGTCCAGGATTAGCGTATTTTACAAGTTACTTTAAATTAATTCAATTTTCAGGACAGCCCTGCTCTCCCTTTAATCTATTTACAAGAAACATCATACCACTGGGGTGCTATCATATTCCTACAGACTCCCCTCAGTAAGAGTCCTAAGAATTAATAGCCAAATTCTATTTTGTATGAGAAGACAGTAGATGGCAGCTATAAAAGCAAGTGAAATTAACAACTGAAAATGAACATTGCAATTTAGTACTAAAAGACAATATGTTCTGAAGGGAAATGTATAGAAGTAACTTTCTTTTTCTTCAAAGCTCTGATTAGATCTGAAAAAGAAAACAGAGTCAAATCATGGCTATGCTTTATAGTACTCTGGAGGCATTTTATGATAAATCTGTAAGGTGTGTTTATAACCTGAGTCTGAAGTTTACTTTGTTCTACACAGTTTGTTGATATAAACCATCAACAAGAGTAAATAGAAAAAGTTATGTCCTTCTGATAACCTAGAAACTCTAGTCATGTATTGCATGTTTGTGGAGTGCCTTCTGGAAGTGATTTAACGCAATGGGTATAGTAGGTGTCTACAAAAGACACTTCAGGAAGTGTCTACAAGAAGATATGTAATAATTTGATAAATAAACATTCAAAAACCTTTGTAAATGTCTCTTCCCTTGGTTATGTTTTTACTATATTAATATAGGTAGAAAACTTAAGGTAATTGAATTTTTGTCCTTCCATGAGTGTGTTTTAGAATGGGCCTTTAAGTTCATTAGAGACTGGAATGTATTTTCTATAAAATTAATGCAGTTAATGCTTTTAATTCAAACATATTCAGTATGTTTCAGAAAAAATAAAAACTGGAGGGAAAATATTAAATTCATAGGTGACATAATTTTACAAATTTGTCTTTCCTTGGTGATATTTAAATGTAAAGTTTTGAACAAAGAAATTACTTCTTGGTAGTAAAATGGACTAATCATTGTTGTCTGAGGTCTCTTGTTTGGAAATATAATTTAGGAGGCAGTAAGTGATATAAGCAAAATAAAATTTTGTTTGTCATGAACTTCTGGCAGAATGTGGTCTGTTTTTAGAACAGAATGTTTACCTTTGATTTTTATGGCTTTTTAATTTTTATAGAGGTGAGCAGTTTAACTTAACTATGTATTTAGGAGGAAGGGTT